CATTGCCAGATACATACCAGACATTGGCAGGTATGCGTTTAATACTTAACGGTATATTTTTGCGCACATAGTCATCGGAGAGATTCAAATCGGTAACGCCGATATTGAGACAGCCTTTGAAATGCAACAACATTCTTTCAAATTAAAAACATTTCTACTAAAAAAAAATCACATACCTGCGAATAACGAATTGTGCGAGATCAGTTTGATTTCGAATGGCGCACCCACACTCAGCGGATGCTCGGAGAAAACCACACAGCGCGAGAGTGCCGCCGAAGCGCCGGTAATACGTGAAGCCACCGTCCAGCTTTGCGATAAGGTCACATTGCCCGATATGCAGGTCCAACGATGCTTCAACTCCGACGTTGCCGGCTGTATAACCGAAGTTGCTTGACAGCTTTGCGAATTCTCACTAGTTGCATACGGCGCACGTATATCTGGCTGCGATTGCGTGAGCGTCACTTGCGCACACTGCCCATACAAATCGATTACTGCCCACACATTCGGCATACGGCACTCACAAGCTGGGCCCTGATCGACGCCATCGATGAAGAAATGCACATAATCTCCATTACGCATTACACCGACACGGGTGTCCTCGCCCAAACTATCCAAATCGATGAGCACATTGGAGCGTATAGTTTTACGATTATGAAAGATCATCGAGCCACAGAGTATTATCATATCGTTGGCATCCAAGTCGGTCGCATTGGCGGCGAGTTGTATATCCTCGGGGCGTGTGCCCGTCACGCCAATCTCTATGTTGCCCGACCAGTGACGCACCATGATATCGAGCACAACCTCGAAGAGTTCGCGCTGACGTAACGGACGATTGCTGAAGACTATGGCATCATTGAATTCGGCCAGCGAATTGGGACGGGAGGCGGTGAGACCGCCATTTGAGATGCCAGCATTTTTACCTAAATTTAACAAACAAATGCTAATTTTAGAACCCAAAAAATCAACGATTTCGATTAGTTCATTTTACCGACCGTGTATGCTATGGAAGCGCAAGGGTGGCTCACTGTAGAGCGTTGTATTGGATATGGTTGAATTTCCCGTATCCGGACTGCCACATTCAGATGTGTCAATTATGCTAGCCTGCGCGGCCTGACCGTAGAGATCGATAACACCAAAGACGCGTTCGGGCACATTGGTCGCTGCCGGTCCCTGATCAACGCCATTCACCCAGAAATGTAACGTGCCATCGTCCTTGCGCACGACACCCACACGATCGCCGACCTGCAAACGATCAAGATTCTGACCATATTGCTCAATAACCGTAATGCCGTTGTGCATAACACCATTGCCCGTCATCATCCAAGTGCCGGAGCTGTAAGATAACCAATTAATTAGGTTTTAGTTTTAATTTCAACTATATTAATTTTGACGTTTAATTTAGGGAGCCCTACCGCACATTGGTCATGGTAAAAGGAAAGTCTAACTCTTCGGCGCTGTGCGTGGTTACACCCATCTCTACCGAGCCGGCCCATTTCGTAACGACACGCTCAAGCCGCACTTGAAACAATTCATTTGGTCGTAAGGGGCGACGAGTTAGCACAACCCCGTTGTTGAAGTCATCAGATGCACTGGAAATATAAATTTATTCAAGGATAAAAAGATAAACATTACTATATAATTATTTAGGAACACACATACAAATTAAAAATTGGAATATTTTTTTAATAAATTTTAGTTGGCTGTATAAGCAAACTGCCCGGCCTGTGCTTGGGTCACTGTCGCTCTGTGATGTTATGTGATTTGAAAGTCAAGGGACAACTATTTTATTGTACAATTTCTTTGGAGGATTCTTTATTGCTCAGGCTACAACCCATATTGAATTTCGTGAATAATATAAAAATTAAACTGTTTTTCATGAGCCATACTTACTTTGGTCGAAGAGCGGTGCGTCCACTATGTGTGACCGTAGCATGCGAACCACAGATCGGATGGAAGGTTAGACGATCATCATTACGCTGCGTATTAGTGCCAGATAACGTTGAGTCGCCCAACGCGGCCGCTGCAGCAGCAACTGTTGAATTGACTTCGCCTTCTGGACTAAGCAAACTCAATACAGGTGTCGGCGTTGCCGAATTCGCCGTAATAAGTGCATTTGTCGCACCGATGCTATCGATTGCCATATTGCCGCTAGTTAAACCTGAAGCGGCTGTAAGTATAAGATTATTGCGACGTGTTACTAAATTTTGTTGTTCCCGCTCATCGCGATCCACAATCGTCACTTTGGTGGTCATGCCGTAGAGATCTATGACACCCCAGAGCGTTTGGGCGACACGAGTTGCGGCCACACCCTGATCCTGGCCATTTATATAGTAATGTAGATTTCCGTTAGACTTGCGCATCATACCCACACGATCGCCTGCAAAATTCATGCATATAATGAATATTAATGAATGAAATATTAAAACACCAAAATAAACAATTTACCTTCACGCAGTTCATCTAAATTAAATTCGCCGTACTGACGACGTGTGCCCTTGCCATTTGTCAGTATACCACAGCCAGACATCATTATGGTGCCGCTGCGCATATTCGTCATTGTAGCTGGAAAGTGTAGCACCGACGGATTGTGTGTAGTCACACCTACTTCTATGGAACCAGACCATTTGTCCACCAACTTATCGATGCGTATCTCAAACAGCTCATTATCCTTCAACGGCCGATGTGTCATCACCACCCCATTATTGAACTCATCCAACGGTCGTCGGCGCTCTGCGCTGCGGCAATGCGGCGAAAGCTTCACAAGGGACCCGCAGCGTGTGTGAAAACGCAGCCTATCCGTATCATAAAAATCTCCCACGTTTTGCAACGTGGACGTATTATTCGCAATCACTGCCGCAGCCGAGGAAGATAAGGGTAGAGCGCTATGCAAACCAGTTTGCGAAATAGCGGAAATCGCAGCGGCGCCTGCGCTGCCCAAACTTGAAATGGCGGCATTAATATCTGCGTTCGTGCTAATGTTTGAAACTAGACCACCGCCACTGCTATTATTGTTGGCTGTGCAGGCGTTGTTGGTCGTCGGCGATGCAGTTGAAACAACCGTCACATCCACACTCATCGGTACATCGATATTCTGCACAATTTGATGTGCTTGCTGAACTGATGTTTCGGCGAAATCCTACGTAATAAATACATTTTTTAATAAAGATTTTAAAATGAAATTCATGTACACTCACCCCTGAACCACCGACATCCGTAGGGCAGAGTGACACTTGCACACAACGTCCGTACAAATCAACCAATGCCCACAATGTTTTGGGCATATTACGCGCTGCAACACCTTGTGGCTCGCCATTAACATAAAATACTAATTCATTGTTGGAAGTGCGCATTACGCCAACGCGATCACGTTCGCCCAGTGTCTCCAAATCAGTGCCATAGAATTCAATTAGACAAACGCCGTCTTTACGCACATCAATGCCGGACATTACCCAGGTGCCGTTACGCATTGCCGTAGCACAGGAAGGCAGTTCTAGTTTCTCTGGTGATTCAGATGTCACACCAATCTCAATACTGCCGCCCCAAGAATGGTTCTAAATTGAAAAGGGCGCTTAGTACCTACAATTTGTACCAAGCACTTGCTCTGTAAGCATACCAACCTTCTTCTCAATTACCACTTCGAAGAGTACATCGTCTGTCAGCGGTTCGGCGCTAAACACCAGCGCATGACTAAAATCACGTACAGAACGCGCCGCAGTGCGGTTGCCATTGGAAAGTGTTATGCGGCGTCCACAGCGATGATGGAATGTTTGAAGCGCTTGTAAATTTATAGCATTAGAGCCTGCTGTTGCACCGATACCACCGTTGCCGCACCCACTTAGCCCAACGGCACCTCCACCGCCTGTAGCCATTAAATTAGCACAAGAACTAACAAATCAAAAACTTTCTTATCTGAGGTATTGCTACTCCCAGAGAGTAATACAATTAGTTAGCAGAATCTTTGCAAAATGTACTGCCTTTGTTGTCTGCCTAGGCACTGAAAGAATCGATCTTTTTCGCCGCACTATACAAGCCACTGACTCCGCTCTTTTCGCTCAGCACCCGCAGACCGATGTAAGTGGTTGCAAATCTTTGAATTTGCAATGAAAATTTGTGAAATTTTTTCTCTATCGTATATTTACAATTTAAAATTTTAATTTTCTTTCAATTTTCACGAAAAGTGAAAAACGAAAAACTTGTCTACTCTACTTTTTTCCTCTACATTCACAGGCGCAGCAATATTAAAGCAAATTTGCCGTTGACATGAAGATGCGAAAATCACAAAATGAAATGTCTGATAAAAAAACAAATATTTACGAATATGAACTGTAAAATAGTGTAAAATGCGAATTAGGAATAATAACAAAAACTGATAACTTAGGAAGTTAAAGCACACAAAACACAGGCATTGCCAGGAATTAACGAATTCAGTAAACATTTGAACATTTTAAACTTAATAATTGATTTAAATAAACTTTTTGTGTCTGCGTTAGTATGACGAAATGGCGAAATATGCAAAGTAAAAAATCCAATTATGTTAATTTTTTTTTTAATTTGTTTATTTGTTGTTTCTTAGATTATTGTGAATTCTAGCTTCGGAATCAGCTGTTCGTTGTTTATTTTGGTATTGTTGCAAAGGAAATTGGAGAAAAATACCTTTTTATAACCATTAAACAAGTAATACAATTAACATTGTTACACAAAATAAAATTGCTACTCTCCGCTCCAAACAGCGTTAGTTTACCGAGTGGACAACTCTAGGCACAATAAAACCCGAACAATTTCAGTAATGCAAGATCGGCTGTAGATTTATTATATATAACCATTTCCATGACAGTGTAATCTAGGTAACCACTAAACACCAGTTTTTTATCCAGCCAGAGACTTTCAAATCGAAGCTATTCCAATAATTTTGGGTTGACCATTTTCCGCCACTTATATTGGACAAAATTTTGGTCTGTTAACTACTTACTGCATGAGTCTTGTATAAGCAAAACTAACAATTTACTTTCATTAATCATATGGTTATAAAATATGAAGGATTTATTCGACAACAGAATTACACGTTCTTGGAACAGTGCAGTTTTAGATTTGGGCAAGGAGTGTCACATCTTATCATTAGTTATATATTTTTTCAGAGAATATATCTTACAATCGTAGAATTTGACAGTTAGCTTTCCATTTACTAGTTATACAATATTATTGCATGTTTTGAATATCATCATTAAAGATTTATTTATTTTTAGAGCGTACATATTTATTTATAGTATACTTATGTATGTATGTCCATCATATCAATTATTTTATACCTCTGTATCTCAGCTTTCCATTTACTTAGTTTGAATATTACAATTTATAGTTACTACATATTTCATATTAGCTTTAGTATTTTTATATGAAGAGGAATTCTAATGTTTAGTTATAAAATGTTCTGCATGTATTGAGGAAAAGTATGTATGTATGTCAATACATAAGCAGTTGCTATTACATATATGCGTTCTCAAGTATGTATATTTATTGTATATGTATGTATATTACTTTCTATGCCTTATTTTCACTTAAAATATGTTTAATTTTCAATGCAACGACGGTTGCGACATGAATTGAAAATCATTTAATTATTCACTATAGTTAGTTGAAACATTCGACAATTTTGTGAGTTTTAAGTTAGGTTTAAGAAAATTACTGATTTTTTAAACTCAAACTATAACGCCTGTTATGATATTATTCATTAATATTTTTTAATATGTTACATTACTCAACATTTGCTTTATTGCAAAACAATTTATGTACGTTAGTTTAAGAAATTAAAATTAAAACAATCATTAGCACATGAAATTTGTTTGAAATTTTTGTTACGTTTTATATATTACAATCGATGCAGTTTTAGCGTTGCATGGTAAAAAAAAAATAGTTTCCCGCATATGTTATTGATTTCGATTACTTTGAGCCAATTTCAGTTGTCACTTGTGCATTTAATTTTAGAGAAAGTTGTTCATTTCCAAATATGTTGGTCAAAATTTGTTTAAATTTATTTTATATAGCGTATGCATATTAAAACCGGTATTCACATGAATACATATTACATAGAAAATTTACATACATACATATAGACGAAATTACATAATTAATAAATAGTTCGTTGGTACATTAACGCCAGCTCTCTATTTCCTAATAATGCAGAAAATCGAAATCTTACAGACATAAAACATTACAAATTATTACGTATGTACGCATATGAGTATAAAAATATAATAGCTCTAGAACAATACAGTACATGTGCATATGTATATGATGAATACCAAAATAAATTTATATAAACATACTTAAAATACAAGCTATGTATTGCTGTGTCGAAATTAAACTAAGTAAAAATACGTGTATACAAGCAGTATTATACGAAAAAAATTCAATGTTTTCAAAACTGAATTGCATAAACAACACATGTTGTGTGTATTTTTTGTTTAAAGTAAAAGTTAAATATTTAAAAATGTGTAAACGCGTTTCAAGGGTAACAGACAAATGTAATGCTGTTGTATCTGTATTCAATTGTGATAACTGTACACGTGCTGGTAAAAAAGATTATCAAGCTTGTCAGTTGACGGTACTTTGCAGCGAGATAGCTGGATTGAAATAACTTTTGTAAGTGGTGGTAATACATTTCTTTAACATAAACTATTTTCGTCCTCAATTGACGTCATTATGCATAGTTTTAATAAATTTAGTGTACGAAGCATCTAATTTGCATTATACAATTAAAGTTTTAGTTGATATTTATAGCGCTACGTTTATGGCATTTTGTTGCTATTTGTTGTCAGTTAATTTCTGTTATTTGGCTTTAATATTTKTTATTACTCTTTACATGTATTATTTTTTGTTAAGTTTTCATTTAGTATTTTTATTGTTACTTTTTAGAAAAACACTTAATTGTTGCTAAACTAATCTGCACACTTCTAATTATTTTGTTTATTTATTGTATATGTATACATGTCTGTTTATTTTTTATCATTTCATTTACAAAAAAATATTACGGTAAATTTGCGTTATTGCTTTTTTGAAAAAGTCAAATTTTTTCATTTGAATTGTTTATGTTTAGCAAAAGGATAAATGTGCTTTCTTTGTTTTTTCATTTGTCGTTTCTTGTTTTATTATAAATATATACACTACATAAGTGCTAAATTATTCCTGAATTTTGTTGCCACATATGCGCTGCATAAAAATTTCTTGCCACCTCTTTAAAAAAAAAATCTCACACAATTTATCTTTTGCTTTTTCTACCTTGATTTCACACTCCGAAGCAAAAAAATAAAACATTATTCATTTGAATGTGAGATTACGATGTCTCACCTTTACCACTGTCATCAGCAGATTCATCCGCGGTGCCATTATCTTTACGTTTCGTATTTGTGTTGTCTTCATCAAGGTCATAGTCATCGTCTTCATCATCATCGTCGGTTGGTAGATCGTCTTCGGTTTCCAAATCATAATCATCGTCAAAGAAATTTGTGTCTAGCGTCGGTTCTGTAGATGTTTTACGTGCCGGCTTAAGGCAGTAATCCTCAAGTGTCATCGGCACGACAATGCCTTCTCTTATAGCATCCGCATTAGCGGCCTGTGCCTGTTTTCGTATAATGCTTGGGTATTCGTTATCCTTTCCCTAAATCAATTTAAAATTAGTAAGCACTTCAGGTTATAACAAGTAACAAGTTACCAACTATTGCATAAAAAAGGTATACGGAAAAAAATTTACCTGCGAATCACGCCACCTCCGGTACATAACCGATGCATCAACATTAGCTGGTGAGTATGTGTTCGGCTCATTTAGCAGCGATATAACCGATAGCAATATGGTGCGCACATTTTGTGTTGGATTCCATCGTTCACAAGGGAGTTCTCCACTTTGTGGATCATCTACCGGAGGGTGTAATATGGAAATACAGAGATCACCATTTTCATACACATTTGGATGCCAAACTTTTGTCAGGAAGCGTATAGATGGCGGTGAATACGGGTAATCTTGTGGAAATTTCATGTGCGCTTTGAAATATCCTCCCTGGTAAAGTGTATCCGGCGGTCCAAATATTGCCACCTCCCATTCAAAGAGATTATCTTCATTAAGCAATTTTACACGGAAACCTTCAACCGGTTCTTCTTGCAGTGATTTGTATTCAAGCGCTAATGCACGTACCGCCGGTCTGCTGGGCATACTAGTACTAGCTGCGTTTAAGATATGCGAAGTCATCGTCGTTGAGTTAGACGATCTCGTCGGATTCGATGTGGATGCTGTATTTGCGGACATTTGGGGCAGTTGATAAGGTTTCGCTTATATATTCAGTTTAACGTTGAAATTTAAATGAGTTGTGTGCTAAAAAAATATAAAAAAAAAATATTTTTTCAGTTTACGAGGTTTTATTGATATAAATGCACGCATTAATGAAATTTTTTTTTAACAAATTCTTTTGAGGGTCAATGATCCATGCCTATCGTTTATTAGCCGTCATCGGTGATACGTCAAGGTGAGCATGTATCGTTAATGAGGCTAGGGACAAAGCAGTTGATTGAAACAAACACAATCCCTGTTATCATGACTATTTTCTTACAGCGTTTCTTCATCCTCGAATTTCTTGCCACAATGTAGTAAAAAATGCATATATTGTTATGATTAAATAATTCTGTTATTAACTAGGCCCTCCACTAACGGCAAAAGTAAAAAAGCGGCCTTAAACAACAAAAAATAAAACAAATCATATTCACACATACATGCACCATGCAATCTGGAAGAATTATTTTTTACTCGACATTTTAGCACCTCAATAGTTTTACAATCGACATTGTATATACTTATTTATAGTTCGAACATTGTCGAAGTTATTAACAGTAAAATAACTCACTTTTATAGACTTTTCTGGTTTCGCTTTTTATGAAAATAATCTTCTTAACTACTTAAGTTACTGTATTTTCGTGTGAGCAATGAACAATGATTTTTTTTCGCCGATTTCACTTTGCTAAACTCAGACATGGAGTTGACAGTGTTGCCATGCTATCGTTTTTATTACTTGGCTGCACTGTTAAAAAAGTGTTGTATAATGTTATCTAAACAACTTATTTTTCCCTCGGAACAATCCAAACATGGTAAAAAAAAGTACTAATGCTATATTTAATAAATATGTATGGAATATTACAATAAATATTATTAAGTTGAGAGGTGTTAATTTAATTTATTAATGATCCACTCAAAAACGTTAAATAAAAATAACCAATAAGGTATTATCAATAGAGATATACAAATAAAAATCACTTTTCGCAATAAAATAAGGTTTTACACTAGAAATCGAGTAAAATTAATATATATAAACATTTCAAGAAGCAAAGGCGTACAGCTTTTCCAATTGCTACTGTTTTACATTGCATCAAAATGAAAGCGATGAGCTTCTTGCAGTTTTTCTTGTTTATCCTCACGTTTTTCTTTAATATACAAAACCAGTATAATGAGCACTATGACCAGACAGGTACCACCCAACGCTACCACACTCATTAAAATCAGTTTGCTGGGTGTAACGAAAAGCTGTGCTTTCCAATGCTGGGGTTCACTCACTGGCTTTGGTACAACAATAATCTGTGAGTTCGGTATAACTTGTGTCCAAGTACGCGATTTGCTGCCCAAACCTACTGTCAGCGAGTCTACGAAATTAGGTGTACGTCCAAGACCAAAAATTGTGTAAGGCAATTGCAGAGCGAAATAAGCAGATTGTGGAAGTTGAACACTTGAACCTTGTTGTTGGTCACCCTCCTGTGTGGTGGTGGAGTAGGTGATACGTGGACCAGGTAAATTCGTGCCATAAGTTCGTCGCTTCCTACCTAATGGCGTTGTTTGTGTAGGATTTTTGCTATTTATAAGTCCCGTAAGAACAATAACTTTTACAAAATTTGCATCATAGTCCAGCGTATTACGGAAGGCTAGTGGTCGATATTTTCCCTGTTTAGTTTTTTCAATGAGAATAACATCGAGGACACCTTTAAAATAAAAATATTGTATGATGTTATATAAAAATGTGGGTTTTTAAGATTACATACCATCTTGATAGAAATCGTAGAATGCGCCGGCAACAGTTTCATTCCCCATTGGACTTAAACCATTCCATTTAACTTCAAAAGTTCGTTTTAGTGGCTTGTTACACATTTTGCATGGCACATTTTCTAAAAGAAAAGTTTGCATACGCTTTGGTCCACTAATAGTATGAAGTGTTATAATCAAATCTGGATAACCATCCATATTAAAGTCTCCGCTACGTGCCGTGATGGTTTTTAAGTAAACATCTGATTCAATTGACGGAACAAAGCCCCATAGTACACCTTGTGGATCCTTAAAGTTTACATGAACATCACGGAAGCTTTTACCATCGTACACCAAAACTGTTGAGTTTGAGCAGTCCGTTTGAATGCAGACGGGTAATATAATATTCTCGACGCCCTCTAACTCAAAATCAGCAAATACCGCTTGACCAATCATGAAATTCGATGAACCAATGATATCGATATCAATGCTGTGATTATAACTAAAATCCTCCTTTTCTTCAATACGACCGTACCATACCTCATAGTTCTTTTCGGTTTGTACTATAAGGTCAGCTGTGAAGTCGCCGTTAAAGTCTAAATATGCGTTGGCATTAGGTATGCGTATTGATGCGGTAGTTTGTTCAGAACCACTCGGTGGAGCTTGTGAGCGCTTTTCTGGAGCTTTTCGTTGAGGCTGAAATATCCAGAATGCTCGGTCGCCATTTTCATCCAATCCGAACAGATCAATGATCATATCACGATTAAAATCCAATGCCAAAGGTTCACCTTTGGTGGTTAAAATTGGATTTCCAACACTCGAGCAATTAATACCATCAGGGCCGCCCCAATTGACATGCACACTATAAATATTTTTCACTGCATTTCGTTTGGGCCGTAGCGTTACAAGTACATCCATTAAAGCATCGCCATCGAAATCTCCTGGTACTACACTAGTGATTTCATAACCATCGAAATTGCAATAGGGACCATGTCGTAAGAGAGGTTCCGTGTAAGCACCTTTGAAGGAAATACATAAAATATTAATATACTCATTCGAAAATAAAACTAAATAGATGTATAAATGTAAACTACCATATAGAATTTCTAAGGTACTCATTTGATCTCTTATTAAGAAGACATCAGTCAACTCATCAGAGTTGAAGTCCCCAAATGCTGCAACAATGCCTTCCTTCACATCGCCAAATACTTGCTGCGTGATATCACTGCATCTGGACAATGTAATAAACGTCAACAATAGTGCAACTTTGACACTATTATTGCTATAATACTGCATTGTTTTAGTGTTAAATGTTCAGTATTATCAATAAAATCTCATTGTCTGCTAATATCGATTTACAACGATTGAAATCCAGAAAATAGTTTAGTTTTCACTTTCACCTAACAAAAATTGTATTAGCTTATTTTTCACTATGCAAGTAGCATGTACTTCTTCCTTATGGTTTCTTATTGTATTTATTTTATTTACTTAAATTTATGTATGTACTTATTTTATTAATTATGAAAAATTCAGAGAATAGTGAGTCAGAAGTAATGAAAGCCAAACACAGCACAGTATGTCAGCTGTCTGAAGGTGCAGAGTTGCTTTCCTATTGGTTTAAAATTAACACTTTTGTTATATTTTTTAACAAATTAAAATATAAAAATATTTTTATAATATATATATATATATATATATATAATATGTATATAATATATATAGAGACATAGATTAACTTTTCTACAATTTCGTTGCCAGTTGTTATTATGGAAAATGTGTGTACGGATAATGGAACAAACCACTTTAGTTTCGTATATAAATGTTATAGGATGTCGTATATAAATTAGGAAATTTCTTCAGCAGAGCGGATTTCCGGAAACATGCACCAATATTCATGGGGAATGTCCAAAAACTCTTGTTTTTAATTCTAATCTACGAAATATACGGCCCATGTCTATTTTGAAATTTTTTTTTTTTTTTAATTAAAAATCATCATATTTTCTGAAGCTAGAAATTCACTTTTACACTTAACACGTCTTAAGATATTAAAAATATATTTGAAATCAATTATTTACACGTAATTACTTATGTTGTTTAGTTGATCAATAAAAAATATGAAAGATTGCATAAAATATGCAGATAACAAGAAGACAAGAACTGGACAAGAATTGTAGAACGAGTTCCAAAATAGTTATTTAGATAATGTATAAAGTCATTATTTCAGATTCTTTACGTATTATTTATTTATTGAATTTCTCATATATATCGGTTTTGTTTTAACTATGTCGTAGGTAAACTTGGCAGCACAGCGAAAAACTCAGCTGTCATCGTCTCATCTTTTTTCTTTTTAATGTCATTTTTCTCACTGCCCAACAATTTACGGTCAAAATTTGCCAACACATACCATTTTGTACCTGTAAATTGTAATTTTTTTCAAGGGATACGTGCAAATTAACACTTAATATGTTGCCGAAACTTAAAATATCAGCATTTCTGTTAAAGGTAAGTAGTTTGCATAGATTATGCGTCCTCTTGATGTCATTGGAGCTTCTTAAGAATAACTTTTTTTAATTACTTTAGCGTCTCGAGCGCATCAAACAGCAATGCAGTGGCTGCCTCTTTGGAGTGCTATATGGAGAAGGCACATTGTTACTTATGGGGTTTAATGTTGAGTCCACCATTGGACATCTGAATTACGAACAAATTCAGTTCAAATTTCCTGCAGAACTAGACTTGTGTGGGTTGGTAAAATTTGGGGACTGCACCGATGCTGAGGCACATATAAATGATATCTTAAAAGACGTAGATATTACGGATAATCCAATATTATTGCAGTGCGAGTTGGGCACACTTGTAGGAATGCGGGCATCTGTTTTTATACACAGTAAGTTTGAAGAGGTGCCTTATGAAGTTATGGAAGCAGAACAATTGTATCGTGATTTTTGCTTCACAAAACTAAAATGTAGCCTGGAGTTGTATACACATCAAACAGTGGAGGTATATGGAGTTGTTTACTATTGTATATATTCTATAGTTACCATTTTTTTATCTATAGGCGGTACGAAGAGAAATGCATACGCTACGTAAACTGCTCTCCAGTGGCAGTTTAGCTTTTTGTTTAGAATCCACTAAAATATATGTTACAAGCGCGGGAGCTCAAGGGCAGGGTATAACAAATGAATCGCTAATTAACAACGTTTTAAATGCAGTAAGTAAAGCAATTAGCAGTGCAGATGAAAATCATGAGAATGTCGAAAAAGGTGGTAAAAAGAAAGTGCAAAGTTCGAGTGTGTCATTAGCGAAAGTATTTGGAGCACTGGGTTGCGCATATGATATACTACGAATTAATGTGCTACGGTGTAAAACACGAGAGCGTAATGCAATCGATAGTACGGGCGGCAGTAACCAAGTGGCGCCACCAGCAGTTGCGATGTGTGTCAAACGAGAAGAGGAAAAAGTATGTATGCCGTTGGAAGTAGAAGCGATGGCGATGCTTTGCAAAAGCACCAAAGTAAGTCGATTGTACGACATACTTATAGAAAGCATATGTCGCTCATTGCGTCTATTCGAACAAAGCATGGTAGAGCGTTTAGAGAATTCCAGTGAAACACCACAGTTGCTTAGGCCTTCTGGCTACCACTTCTTTCCCCAGGTTTGTAATACAATTACTTATACAACTTTTTTCACGAAATTTGAAATAAATTTTATATATTTTCAGGAGTTTGGTCATTTCTTGTCGTGTTCTTACTTAGATGGGGTATCGGATGATGAAACTAGTGTACAGGATAAACGCAAGAAACTACATCGGCATTTTGGGTTACCAGTCACACGACCATATTTTCGACGTGCCAACCACTGTCTCTTCTATGATGAACTTAGTAATCCATCGCCATTGGTAAACACACATATAGGTTTGCGACCTAGTGGCATTACCGACGGTAGACAATACCTTGTGCAGGGAAACTACCATTACTATCATTATTTGCAGCAGGAAATGCAAGATAAAGGTTGGGGATGTGCGTATCGATCATTGCAGACGATTTGTTCATGGTTTCTGCTGCAAGGTTATACAGAAAAACCAGTACCAACGCATCGCGAAATTCAAAAATATTTAGTAAATATAGGCGATAAGCAACCCAGTTTCGTTGGATCAACACAATGGATAGGTTCTACGGAAGTCAGCATGTGCCTTCAAGGATTTCTTAACGTTGACTCAAGAATACAACACGTTACTTCCGGCGCCGAGGTAGCTAATCTTGCTTCTGATTTGGCCATGCATTTTCAAACGCAAGGTACACCTATTATGATTGGTGGTGGAGTATTGGCACACACTATAATCGGCATCGATTACTGCTCACAAACGGGGAAAGTGAAGTTTTTGATATTAGATCCGCATTATACGGGCGCAGACGATTTACACACGATACAGACGAAGGGTTGGTGTGGCTGGAAGGGTGGTGACTTTTGGGATAAGAAAAGCTACTACAATCTGTGTATGCCACAGCGGCCGATTATATTTTAAAAATACCAGTGCGATGATTGCGAATGTTTTCAAAAGTTATTGTTTACTCATTTTTTACGCGTAAAGATTTGTTTCAAGGTTAGTTTGTTACCATTTGCATTTTTATTTTCGTTTGTTTTGTTAATTCGCTTTGCATGTAAAATTAGCAAATTGTATGTTTGGCAATGTCTTATTTTTTATAATTGAAAAAAATATATTCAAACAAGCCAGTACGAGCAGCATTTGTAATATTAAGCACTTATGTACGTATTTTTATTAAACATTATTTACTATACATACAAAAGCTTTACAAGCTCTTTCAAAATACGTTAATGTTATTTACTTAGCTTAGCAAAAAATTATCCGCCACTCTTTGAATATCGTTTCCAGAAGCGTTTTACATCATCATGTCCATTTTTGGTGACAACCATTGTGCGCGTACGCTCATTCATGTGTACCAGCACATTAATGGATTGCGCATAGTCACGCAGCGTTACAAAGTCGGCTTGTGATAAAAATTGGTTATAAACCACACCTTCAGTATAGGTGAAACGATTACGTTCAAGTTCCCATAATTTTATTTGGTCCACAACGGTTGGTGGTAGTGGAGATTTAGATTTAATTGCCGACTCAGTTAATTTCATGTTCGGATGAGAATACTGTTCCAAATAGCTAACTATTTGGTCTGCAGTGATACCGCCGCGTAGCGCTTGGCGCACAGAGTCGCGTGTCAGTACACCGACCACTAAATTGGGAAAACGATATAGAAGTTCGGTAAACAGGCCTAGAACGGCTACTTGCAGCGGGGAGTCTGTGTAAGCATATACACGGTAATTTGTTTCTACCACAATATAACCACTCTCCTGTGCTTTGTCATCCTCAGCTATTACTGCTGGTACAGCTGCGTGTTTGTTAGTCACGTTTAGTGCCAGCCGCGTTGGATAGAAACGTCCTTCTTTACGTTTACGTTGAAATACAAGTCCGAATTCTCGTAAATGTTGTAGGAAGGTTAGCATTTTTGGACTCATGCCTTCCGAACTGTAGTCTCGCCCTAATGTGGAGAAACTCAATTGAAATAACATTGAAAGACAATCGGGCAATGAGAGGCCACGTTCTTCGCAGGTGTCCAGGTATTGCAACATAAAGTGCCACACCTGTGACTGTGTGTCAAGTAGCAAAAATTGAAATCCTTGGCGTGTAATAGTAATACCATCACGTTCATCGCGCTTCATGAGATTAGCATGCAAGAGTATACGTACTGCATCTGGACTAATACCTTCACTGTCTTGCGCCTTGTTTGAACTACCAGTGCCTACCATATAATGAAGCACACAACGCCAACGTGCCATTGCGTAAGTATCTAGAAAGGCGATATCACGTGGTTTTGAATCTTTCTCCAGCGTATGGGACATTGACCATGGTTTACCACCACCCAGCAAAGCTATTTTCAAATTCTTTTTGAAAGTTGGACAAAGTTCCCAGGCTGATAATCCACCAGGTATAGCAGTTACTCGCCAAACGTTGAGTTCTGTAAGGCATGCTGTAGATGCGGCTTGCTCCCTGTAAAATTAATACGTAATTAAATACCCCTAAAGGAACTAAGTTACAAACTTTGCGTAATGCTGTGAACCCCATGATGCGACCACTGCCTGTGGCACTGGTTGTTCTACAAAAAGTATACGTATTACAAATTGTCGTGCGATTTCTGGAAGTTCTCTGTATACAGCTAAACAAATTGTTGGATAATTATACAGTTTCTCCAATGTTTCTGCAGTTCTCGTGCGCAAATACTCCTGCAGATCCATACACTGTAAATTGGCCGGCTTTGGTATAAGTGCATAAGTGGATGTGGTGGGACCAGAACGGCCAGCTTTTGCATCCGACATTTTAATACAAAATTATTATTCTTTATTTACCAAGAAGGAGAGTTAATTTAGCCGGTTAACTTGTATTTTGTGCCCAATAACAACTTTTGATATAAAACAGTGGAAAAACAAATGCAAGCTTCTTCCTTTATTACTATTCACAATGAGAAAACATATTACTCAGATTTACATATTGAAGAATGTTTTGTATATCATTGTTGTCATGTTTTAAAAAAATATATAAAAATGTTCTAACTTTTATAATTTTAACTATATTTTTAATGTTTTTGACTTACTTCTAATTAAACCGTTTATAATAGTACGGTGTTTGCCATAGGGATGATACGATTTTTTAGTGCCTTATTTGCTATTTATAATATGCAATGATGTGTAATTTTATTTCATTGTGTTCAGTAATATTTACAATATCATTATTAAATACGCAAAAACAACGATTACAAATTATTTGTTATCAAAATAATCGTTCTCCAATTGCAACTTTGCGCTTTCATGATGTACGACTTGATTTTGTAGTCGCATATAGGGTTCATCGAATTCGTTTATGAAAAGAAGTCCTGGACACTATTTGAATGATGTTATGTTCAGAACTTAATTGTATCGATTGTACTACACATTAAATAAAAAAAATTAAATTTCCTTAGCAATTAGTATTTTTTTATTTGTAAGAAATCATATCACTCTTATTGGAAATTGTTAACAACGCAGTTCACAATAGTTTTTGACATTTATTGTTGAGCGCGCCTAAATTAATTTTGTCGGCTTGGTTTTTGAATGTTAGCATTTAAAGTAATGAATATTTTATATTGAAGAAAAATATGAGTGCAAGCGATGGTGTATTTAACAATTTACGACAAAAACTTGATGTGCTGGGATACACACAGACTTTGCCCTTGGCTGGTATACCTTTGGTTGCAGCGCTTTTTGAGGATTTGGTTAAATCGACGGAGAGTCTAAGAGATGCAAAGAAAAAAATTGTCGACCTGTTGGAGGTAAAGTGCAAAATAATTTTGGTTTTTCAAAGTATATCTGTAGAATACTATTTGTTATTCAGTTGTGACCGTAAGCCGTTGTCATGGTCAACAATATAAGCACTTTGTGCGATGCCAAAACATATATCATATTTTTTCTCGTTGTAGGAAAAGTCTTGTTGGGAATTAGGCGTAGAACCATATAAGTGTGACAATTCACGACTCTTGGTTGAATGTAATCAGCTGCATCAACAAAATTTAAAGGATCGAGAAGATTATGAGCAACGAAATTTTGGCAAGTTTATTATATGTATATCAAAAATTACCTGCTAATTTAAATATATATTTATATATGTTCATTTTTATACGACAGAATTACTTCAGAAAATCCGTAATCTAGTTACGGACAAATTTCACCTAGAGGAGCAATGCCAGCAGCTACAGCAACAACTGTCTTCACTCTTAGCCAAACATCAGAATATAATAACTGGGCCAAATATGAAAAATGTTAAAGACAAAGGTAAATTATCTTTTATTCTTAAAAACAATTAAATAAATCCAAAAAATATGTATGTATTCACAGCCAAAAAACCGTTTGTAAGTACGGTGCGTTCTGGTGAACGCATTCCACCACTTTTGGAATCTCGCGGCAATATACGTTGCACCAAATGTACCAGCCAAACTACTCGTCCATATACGGCAGATAGTGCAAGCGTTGGAGTTGACAAAATGCCTAGTGTAGCGTTAAAAAATGAAATAGACAGATTGGAAGATAGGGTAAAGAATTTGACAGACCAACTAGAGTTCCATAAGCGCAAGGTAAATATATTTCTTCTTCATTGGCGTTGATATATTTATTGAAATTTATTTTTAATGAATTTTTTAAATTAAATACTCAAGATTGAATCTCGCGATCGAGAAATTCGTCGTTTGAACGAGTTGCTCACAGGTGGTCGTCCGCCTGCTGCTCTAGCAAAAGATTGCTGTTTTAAAGATGTACGCGGTATGTCTGAAGACATTGAAAATTTACAACGAGAGAAGACTGAGAGTTTAAATAAGATACGCGAGTATCAAGAACAAATGCATGAAGCAATGGAAAGAGCGCTTTCACTGGAAACTCATAATAAACAACTGCAACATGATCTTGATGAACTAAAGGTCGCAGCTTTGGCAGTAGAAACACAAGCAAATAGCGAAATAGCACAACGTGAACAAGAGTTGGAAGATTTACAAAATGAGTTGAAGAAATTGCGCAATAGACCAGAGAAAGGTGATAATAGAACACAAATTGGTCGCAGAGCTGGAGGAGCTGGTGATGGTGTAAACAACTCTAATGACTCGTCAGCAGTGGCCGCCTTAAATGCTGATAAACGTCGTCTAAATGAACGAATTAATGAACTTACACAAAGGGGTTTGTATTTCTTACAATGTACCTTATTACTTTTATAATAATTTATTTTTTAAAATATGATTTGATATATTTTTCAGACGCTGAGCTAAAATCTGAAAACGAGCGCTTGCTAAAAAAATTGTCAAAGCTGAAAGGCAAAATACATGGCATGCAAAAAGGTAAAAAGTTCTGAATTTGATTAATATTTTTTACATATTAACCAAGCTGTTATCACATAAATATTCTCCCTTAATTTAAATACTAGAACTAACAGATTTGCTGATAATTTCAATGATCCCTTTGTTAACATTTGAAGTCAATGAACTTTTTATTTACATTTAGCCAAGACAACAACCTTTTTCACATTCTGCGAGGTCAATGACCCTTTTGTTTACATTTTACCGAGATCAATGATCCCTATGTTTACATTTAGGTCAAGGAATTTTTTGTTTACATTTAGTCAAGTCCATAACCTTTAGTTACATTTAGCCAAATCATCGACCTTTATTCAGATTTTTACGGGTAAATTCTTTACATTCCATGAGTTCGATGACCCTTTTGTTTAAATTTTTCCGAGGTCAATGACCGCTTTGTTTACATTTGAGATCAATGACCCTTTTCTTTAAATTTTTTTTAGGTCAATGAACTTTTTGTTTATATTTAGCCAAGTCCACAACCTTTATTACCATTTAGCCAAGTCAACAACATTTGTTTACTTTTGGGGTCACTTACACTTTTGTTAACATTTTATGGGGTTGAGATGAAGAAAATAATATAGTCCCTGTTGCAACCGATTGCAAGAGTATAAAAATTGCAATATTTATTATCGAAAACACAATATGTGACATTATGTAATTATGATAAGCATTAACTATTCACACTCCATAGAGCTGCAAGATAATGTTCAACAAAAAGAACAACGCACCGATGAAGAAAAAATAAGACTCAAGTCTGAACGTGACTTTTTCCAAAAAGAATATTTGCGCCTTATTAGCAAAGCCGGATCCGAAAAGGTACATCAAAAGTAATTTATTTAAAAAATCTGAAACGTGTATGTTATCTACAGGAAGTTGAGTTTCTACAATCTCAAATCAAATCAAAAGATGACGAGCTACGTCTTCTGCGCGCAGAGCTTTGTCTGCGCCAACAAGAACGCCTAATGCCGTCAGTAAACACAGTCAATGCAGCCACAGCCACTACCACTGCAGGATCGCTAGCAAGCGCACGTTCAAATCATTCCGCTAAGTCAACGTTCAGCGCTGCCAGTAGTGATTGCGTACAAGCAGTGGTTCTGCGCGCGGAACGTGAGCGCGATTGCGCACGCGCTGAGTTAGAACGTGTGCGTTGTGAACGTGATACGTTGCGTGAGAAGCATGTTTCTCTGCTGCAAGCGCAATCGTTGGAAACGCAGAAGTCACAAACACATATTGGTGAGCTGAATGCGCGCTTAAGACAGTTGGAGCGCGAGAATCGTGAGTTGAGTACCGCGCGAGTGCCACATGAAACACACATTGCATTGCTCAAAGAGGAGATAGATGAGCTTAAGCGGCAGATTTTCACTTTGCAAGAGGAAAATACGAAATTGCGCACGCGCAACAGTCAATTTAAGTAGGAATTTGGAAATTTGTTCCAGTTTCTTAGATTTAACTATTGTTATGCGAGTTTTCTTTTAGAATTTTGAACGAGCAAACCGAACGCACACTGCAAGAGTATCAAAGTAAACTTGCCATTGCCGAGCGGCAACTGCAAACGGCTGATACGCGTTTAAACGATTTGGACTCGAATCGTGAGGTCACACATCGTGAAGCTGCACAGCTGCGCAATGAAGTTGCAGCTTTGAAGAAGACCTATGTCTCACTGGAAAGTGAGAAAGACAAAATATTGGTATGTTCTAATGGATAATTTGCAATATTGTTTATTTATTTGTTGTTTATTTTTTTTTATATATGCATATAGACGCAATTAGATGCTAAAACGGAGCGTGCTTATCAATTGGAATTTGAACTTAAGCTTTGCAAAGAGAAACGTTTGGCGTTGGAAAAAGAGGTCAAGGAGTTGGAGGAGAAATTAAGGTAAGTGGCCTAGATTTGTGAAAGCGGTATAAAAGTGAGGAGTTTTTAATATCGTGATGTGCCTATCGACATCTTATTACACCAAATATTCTGATTGGACCTTCTGATAGAACCAGCTTCCCTTGAAGTCACCTTGTGACTTTCTAAGCAGTTTTATAGAACCAGCTTCCCCTGAAGTCACCTTGTGACTTTCTAAGCAGTTTTATAGA